ACAATTCCCCTCTCTATAGGCACCCCAACTTTGACATTTGTCACTTTCCAACTCATGCCATCCACCTCACCCAATTTGGCCACACTTGCCAACCTGGTTTGGCTTCTCCCAACTACTTGGCATCATCTACAGTGATGGTGACGAATTTCCCAACCCCCAAAAGTCTGTACCCCATATTGAGTCAGCCCGCAAATTCCTATAGTCGTCGCATCTCAATCAAAGCTTCGAACGATCATATCTTTCTTGTTCTTGCTCCGATCGCGGCGATTCTCGGTTCGTCGGGAAGCTCTTAAGCAGAGGAGTCACTTCAGATATCTGCCCAAGCAAAATAGCATTCACACACACTCAGAAAATCCAAACCATGCCAAACACAGATTCTTGAACACACCACGCATGCAACGCACGAACATATGATGGGAGGTAGACAGACGTGAATGCAAATGATAGCATCACATAACAGGAGCAATGCAGGCAGGGCAGTGCGGCTCAGTAGGGCAGCGCGCCTCAGTAAGGCGGCGCGGCTCAGCAGGGCAGCGCGGCTCGGCAGAGCGGCGCGTCTCGGTGGGCGGCGCGGCTCGGCTGGGCGGCGCGGCTCGGCTTGGCGGCGCGGCTCAGCTCCTGGCGGCGCGGTGCAGCAGGGCGGCGCGGGTGCTTACCAAGGGCGGGTGCAGGGCAGGGCCGCGACAGCAGGGGCCGCGACAGCAAAGGGGCTGCAACGGCTGGGGCCGTGACTGCAGGTGCGGCGACAGCAGGGGCCGCGACAGCAGGGGCCTCGACGGCAGGGGCCGCGACAATAGGGGCTGCGACGGAAGGGGCCGCGACAGTAGTAGGGGCCAAGACGGCAAAAGGGGCCGGGACGGCAACAGGGGCAGCGACAGCAGCAGGGGCCGCGATGGCAGTAGGAGCCGCGACGGCAGCAGAGGCCGCGTCGGCAGCAGGGGCCGCGACGGCAGCAGGGGCCACGACGGCAGTAGGGGCCGCGTCAGCAGCAAGGGCCGCGATGGCAGTAGGGGCCGCGTCGGCAGTAGGGGCCGCGACGGGCCGGCTAGGGAAGGGCGCGCAACCGCGCAGATAAGGCAGGCGCGAAGCGCGCTTCGGGTAGGGCAGAAAAAAAAATTGCTCATGGTGGGCCCTAAAAAAAACGTTCCCACGAGGGAACCTGCTCAGAATACCATGTTAGAATATTGAACGAATGAATGATTGAACTAGAAAGCAGGAGGGTACAAGTAGCAAACCTAAAAGTGTTGTACCCTATAAGAACTACCCCACTACAGCCTAAACAGACAATAGCATATAAGTTTGACAATGATCACCAGGCGGAAGTGCCTTGGTGAAGACGTCAGCAGTGTTGGCCCGAGTGGCCACGTACACGAGACGAAGCTGGCCACGGTGCTGCAACTCTCGAGCAAGGAAGTATCGCAGAGCGATGTGCTTCGTTCTGTGCTCCAGTCTGTGCTCCTGACACAAGGCAATCATGGCCTTGTTGTCTACGTACAGAACTGGAGGCGAACGAGGCTGCTCTCCCAAGTCGGTCAGCAAGTAGGTCAGCCTGCGGAGCTCCTGAGCATCCATAGCCCCGGCGTAGATCTCAGCCTCACAACTGGAGCTGAGAACCGAAGACGAGCGGGTAAACCGCCACGACACAGAGCCAGAACCAAGACTGAAGGTGTAACCCTGTGACGACCGCTGCGTAGCTGAGTCGTCAACCCAGGAGGCGTCTGCGTGACCGGTGAGAACAACTGGACTCCGTCCTCCAAGCACGAGCCCCATGCCCGACGTACTGCACAAGTAACGCAGTACCCTCTTTGCAGCATCCCAGTGCACCCTTTGGTGCCTACCGGGAGCCACGTAGCGAGCCAGAAGGCTGAGAGGGTACGCGAGGTCAGGTCGTGTGCAAGTCATCAGGTATATGAGGAAACCCACAAGCTCTGGGTACAGACCACTTGGCTCTACGGACTCGTCCGAAGGTGGAGCTGAGAGCGAGTGGCTGGTAGACAGAGGACTGGGCTGTCGCGAGGAGAACTGGAAGCCAAAGCGCTGAAGGACCTGGTGCACCATGTGTGACTGAGTCAGTGTGATGGTGCGCTGTGCTCTGTCCCGGGTGATCTGCAGGCCAAGATAGCTGCGTAGTTCACCCAGGTCAGTGCAGGTGTGTCTCTTTTGCAGCTCGGACTTCACAAGGGTCAGTGCCTCAGTGTCAGCAGTGGCAAAGACGAGGTCGTCGACGTACACGAGGACGTAGAACGGCGGCATAGAGGTGTCGGTGCGTAGAAACAGCGACGGGTCCGCAGTAGAAGGAGCAAATCCAAGAGCCGCAAGTGTGATCATGAGCGTGTCGTGCCACTCGCGAGGCACCTGGCGGAGACCGTAGACTGGCCGGCGGAGGCTCCACTTACCTGCGGGAAACGTCCCAGTGAAACCAGGTGGTCGGCGCAGCCAGATCTCCTCAGGCAGGCTGCCCTGCAAGAAAGCTGTGCTTAAGTCCATAGAGTCCAACTCGTAGTCACGCTGAGCAGCGACGTGCAGCAACACCCGAAGAGTAGTCATCTGCGGGGTGGGGGAGAAGGTCGGGAAGTAGTCAACTCCCTATCGCTAACTGAAACCTCGAGCAACGTAACGCGCCTTGAAGGCAGGCGGAGAACCCGACGGCCGCTTCACCCTGAAAATCCACATGCCATCGACTATGTTCGCCCCCGGTGGGGGAACCTCGTTGACGTAGGTGCCTGTGGACTTCCAGGATGCCATATCGGCATCCATGGCTGCCTGCCAGTGAGAGGAGTAAGGACCTGTAATTGCCTCTGCGTAAGAGCGCGGGGTCGGGATGTCTGGAGCATCCGGGTCTCCCTCAGGGGCAAGCAACATGGAAGCGAAACAAGGTACAGCAGCTGCAAGACACTCAAAGTCCTCCTGCCTGTCCTCAAGGACGTCCGTGCCAAGAGCACACTCACCCCCGACGGACGGAGGACTGGCGGACGCAGACTCAGCAACTAGAGCAGTGGCGTGGTCTAGACGGCAAGCAGCAGCAAAGTCAAGCAGCTCAGCAACGAGGGCAGACGCAGCAGCAGACTCAACAGAAGGGTCTGTGACAGTAGTGGCGAGGAGACGAGAGATAGTGGGACTGGCAGCACGAGCGCGGTCAGACTCAGGGTCAGGGAACTTAGGAAGAGAGGACTCAGGAGGAGCAGGCAGAGGAACACGCAATGGAAGAGGGGAAGGACGGAGTGCCATAGCGTACGTGCCGGGGACAGGAGGAGGACGCAAACGAAGAGCGCGACGAGCAGTGCGAACAGGCGAGACAGGACAAGACGCAGGGTCACGATGCTCTGTAAGACCGCTGGACTGCTCAGTGTAAGGAGAGGGACCAGGCAGTGGGGAGGCGGGGTGTAACGGCGGCTGCGACTAGTCAAGCGGAGGACACAGGAGAGGAGGAGTAAGGTCGGTAGAAGACGGGGTACCAAGAACTTGCTGAAGCAGGGGAATGAAGTACGGTCGCGGCCGCACAGTGCCTCCAGCACCTCCAGCGCAAGGGTCAACAACTCCAGTGCCTCCAGCTCCAGTGCCTCCGACTCCACCTCCGGCAGCTCCAACACCTCCTGCACCAGGGCCTACAACTCCAGCACCCTCAACACCACCAGTCCCGGCAGCTCCAGTACCCCGGGTACCAGCACCTCCAGGACCAGTGGCCGCAGCACCTCCAGCACCGCTAGCTCCAGCAGCAACTCCAGCACCTCCAGCTCCAGCAGCTCCAGCACCTCCAGCCACGGTGGCTCCACTCCGAAGGCGAGCGCGTCGAACAAACCACTCACGCAGCTGCTGCGGAGACAGTCTCGGCGAAGCACCAGCAGAACCTTTAGACAAAGCAGCACCCTGAGGCTCAGCACCCTTAGACTCCGCACCCTCCGATGTAGCACCCCTAGGCTCAACACCCTCAGGCTCAGCACCCCCAGGCTCAGCACCCCCAATCCCAACACCACCAGGCTCCGCACCCCCAGTCTCAGCACCCTCAGACCCCACACCCCCAGGCTCCGCACCCCCAGACGCAGCACCTAGAGCAGCACCTGAGCCGACAGCTACCTGAAAAGGCGCAGGACCAGGGAGAGGGTCTACCTGGGACACACCTGAGGGAGCAGGACCGTGGGGCGGAGGGGGTCCACCGGAGGGGGACCGGGAGCAAGGAAGAGTGGCAGGGGCGGGGGAGGGGTAGAGCGGTAGGGGAAGAGACGGTAGAAGGGAACCGACTCATCGAACGTGACGTCCTGAGACGGGAGGACATGGCGCGAGGTGGGGTGGTAAAACTGCCAGCCAGGCGCGTCAGGGACAAAGCCAAGCAAGATGCAGGGGATAGCACGGGGGGAGAGCTTGTCCGCAGACGTATCGTGAACAAAGGCAAAAGATCCCGAGACCCGGAACACCGACGCATCGCTAACCTCCCCCGTCCAACGCAGTGTGGGCGAGGTCTCCGGCAAGGAGACACTGGGCCACAGGTTGAGCTGATGCACAGCGTACTGGACCGCAAACGGCCACAGAAAATGGGGAGCAGCCGCATGGATCATGGAGGTACGAGCGACGACCTGACCCTTGCTGCGCAAGGGGAAGACCGTGTTGTACCGCGTGTAGTCGTCAACCACCAGCAGAAAGTAGCGCTCGCGGCTCTGACCACTGACGTGGGCCGGGCCCCACACGTCCATGTGGAGAGTCTGCAGGGGAGCAGTCGTCGGGGGAAACGAGGAGGAGTGAGGAGCGGCGCGCTGCCACCCCTCGACGCAAGGGAGGGAAGGCGGGGCAGGCGAGGGCGGGAGGGGAGGCACAGACCTGGGAAGACCAGAGATAAGAAGACGAGAGTGCATGCCACGAAGACGTGGCAGGGAGGGGTGACCCAGGCGGTGGTGCCACAGAAGAGTCTGGTGCGACAAGAGGCGACATGAGTAAGAGGCAGCTTCTTGACCTGACGCAGACACCTGAGCTGACGCAGCTACCTGAGAAGGCTTGGTAGCGAGGGTTTACAGACTCGACCCTGGCCAACGAGTGAACGTGGTCAGGTGACGTCCCGTCCGTGTGCACGTGCAGATCGAAACACGCTGACCCCCAGGAGTGGTGGTAGTGACCATCGCATCCTGGAGGGCAGCGGTACTCACCAAGTTCGTTGAGAAGGAGGGGAGGTGAAGACCTGACTGTGAGCCGAACGGAACCGCCGGACACGGGAGGACAGTGGAGGAACGGGCCACGACCGGTCCCCCGGAGGGGTCAGCCAGCCTGACCGGGACAGTTGCAGGAAGAGGAGTGAGGGTGGTGCTGTCACGAAAGAAACAGCGCGAGGCGCCTGAGTCCAACGTGAAGGTGTGCAAAGCCTCAGCAGGCGCAGTACCAGGGAGAGTACCAGACTCACTAGCACCTAGAGCAGCAGCGGCTATACCTGGGTCAGGCAACACACACCGGTAACAGTCACCCTCAGCACTAACAGACAAAGCATACATAGCAGAGAGAATAGCATTATAGTCTAGGTCAAAGATAGCAATCCTAGACTTAAGGAGATCTGCCCAGCGAGGGAGCTCGATGTCGTCACCAAACTCAGCACGCCAAGCGTCGTCGAGGCGGGAGAAGCAGTGGTGCTGAGTGTGGAGCCGCTCGCAAGTCTGACCAGCACGGTCACCCGTGCGAATGACATACGGGCAACTACCCCCAGACGGCCCACGCAGAAACCACTCACAAAGGTGCTGGGGAGACCGGGTCTCGCTCCGACGCTGCTGCTGCTGACGCTGGCCACCCCCAGAACCGACACGCCGAGCGCCAGTCCCACCGCCACCAGTCCCACTGCCTCCACTGCCGCCACTCCCACCGCTGCCTCCACCACCGCCACCAGAGCCCCCACTCCCGCCGCCACTCCCACCGCCGCCACCACCTCCACTGCTGCCCCCTCCACCACTCCCACTGCCACCTCCACCACCGCCGCTGCCACCACCACCACCCCGGCCACCCTTGCCCTTGCTGCTGCGGCGCTTTGCACTAGCAGAAGCATCCCCAACGTCCTCAGGAACAGAGACGTCTGCAGCAGCAGCAGAGGCGTAGGAGGGGGCAAGGGGGGAGGGGGAACACCCCTCAAAGAAGGGCGGGCGCGGAGTGCCACGAGCAGCACCTACAGCAACTGCACCTAGAGTCAGGGAGGCGGGTGACTATAAAGTAGAGAGTGATGTACATCGGGGGCGGGTTCCTGTCAAGGAACTCAGCAGGAACGGCAGCGCGGTAGCGAGCGTCACTAGCGCGAAGGTGGGAAACCAGGTCCTCGGCTGTGGCATAGGCGGACAGCTCGGGGAACAGGTAGGGCAGAAGGAGGCGGCCTAGAGCAGCAGTGGCAGGGGAGGAGTAGCGGGCGACTACAGCGTCGTACAGTGCCTGTGCTGTCCTGTGCTGTCCGAAGTGAACGCACTCAGCTAATGGCAGGTGGTTGCGAATGACTAAGCGGGAAGTAGCGTCTCGAGTAAGCCACTGTGAGCGAGTAGAACTGTCGGCTGTGGCGGGAGGGGCAGTAGCAGCTCCTGACGCTAGGTCAAAAAGCGAGACATTGTCCTTAGAATCGCTCAGTAGGTACAGCTGCAGGTCGTCAAGCAACGTGTCAAACTGAACTGGTCTACCCTCATGATCAAACGCAAGGACACGAAGCGAAGCCATAGCTGTGTAGTACGTAGGAGCAGTAGTAGCAGCTGTAGCAGTAGCAGTAGCAGCTGTAGCAGGAGCAGCAGTGACAGTGGGGCTAAGAGGCCGCCGGGGCCGGGCGCGGGCTAGGGATGGGGCCGGGCGCGGGCTAGGTACGGGGCCGGGCGCTGGCTAGGTACGGGGCCGGGCGCTGGCTAGGTACTGGGCCGGGCGTGGGCTAGGTACGGGGCCGGGCGCGGGCTAGTAACGGGGCCGGGCGTGGGCTTGGTATGGGGCCGGGCGCGGGCTAGGTACGGGGCCGGGCGCGGGCTAGGTACGGGGCCGGGCTCTGGGCAGGTATGGGGCCGGGCGTGGGGCGCGAAACGGGGCCGGGCGCAGGGCTAGGTACGGGGCCGGGTGCGGGCTAGGTACTGGGCCGGGCGCGGGGCTAGGTACGGGGCCGGGCGCAGGCTAGGTACGGGGCCGGGCGCTGGGCAAGGGACGGGGCCGGGCGCTGGGGAGGGACGGGGCAGGGCGTTGGGCGCGATACGGGGCCGGGGGCTAGGCAGGTACGGGGCCGGGCGCGATACGGGGCCGGGCGCGAGACTAGGTACGGGGCCGGGCGCGGGCTAGATACGGGGCCGGGCGCTGGGCAAGGGACGGGGCCCGGCGCTGGGGAGGTACGGGGCCGGGCGTTGGGCGCGATACGGGGCCGTGCGCAAGGCTAGGTACGGGGCCGGGTGCGGGCTAGGAACGGGGCCGGGCGTTGGGCGCGATACGGGGCCGGACGCTAGGCTAGGTACGGGCCCGTGCATTGGGCGCGGAACGGAGGCGGGGCGCGAGGCTAGGTACGGGGCCGGGCGCGATACGGGGCCTGGTGCGATACGGGGCCGGGTGCGAAACGGGGCCAAGCGCGATACAAGGTCGGGCGTGAGGCTAGGTACGGGGCCGGGCGCGGGCTAGGTACGAGGCCGGGCACGGCCTAAGGGCCGACGTGGCCGGGTGCGGGCTAGGAACGGGGCCGGGCGCGGGCTAGGGGTCGACGGGCCGCGTAGGCTAGGAGCGACGGGCCTAGGGGCGGTCACTAGCAGCGTAGCAGGTGGTGGGCCCAAGGAACCTGCTCTGATTCCATGTCAAACAAACGAACGAGAATCAATGAACTATGAAACAGTTGGGTACAAGTACTAACCCTAATTGGGTTGTACCCCTTATGGGCTACCCCACTACAGCCTACACAAATGTATAAGCTATAATGTTCTGACACATAGCATTGTGAGCAGCGGTCTCTCCACAGCGCAGTTGCTGAAGCTCCGACCAATAGACACCACGGGGCGATTTTTCCGGAGGGGGTAGTTGTCGGGAAGTCCACAGCTTCATTCGGAATCGAGAGGCGCATATGATGATTGGCGGCTCATTGCAGAGCGGTGGTGACCACTGGCACGCTACCACAGTCGAAAAATATGTGCGTATGGGACTCGATGAGATTGGTGTGGCAACGTTGGCAGATGCCTCTGGAGGGGGTATAGTGCATTCGTGCTCCACAGGGCAATGAGCGCGTGTAAATACGAAATAGTATGTCTCGCTGCCGACTGGTTTGCTCCTTGAGGAAGGAGTGAGTCAGGTCCGAAATGTTAGAATGTTGTGAACGAGAATGAATGAACTAGCAAACAGTTGGGTACAAGTACTAACCCTAATTGGGTTGTACCCCTTATGGGCTACCCCACTACAGCCTACACAATGTATAAGCTATAATGTTCTGACACACCCCCATAGGCAAAGTGGGGGAGAACAAGTGGTCACAAGACCAGTCAAGAAAAGAAAAGCAAGCTCAGGGTGGATCACAAAGTCACCACACAGTCCGAGCACAAGCAAAGGGCCACAAGGCTAGTTCACATGCAGAGTTATATAAAGAGAACAAACAATACAGTGATCATACCCTAGCAAGTGTAAGCATGCAGGTATAGATACAGATCACAGTACAAGCAAAGTCATGCAGTGAGCAAGTGAGGCAAAGTAGGCACAAGGCCGAACACAGTAGAGAAGCGCTGATGATCACCAGGCGGAAGTGCCTTGGTGAATATATCAGCAGTGTTGGCCCTAGTAGCCATGTACGCAAGACGAAGCTGGCCACGCTGCTGCAACTCTCGAGCAAGGAAGTATCGCAGAGCGATGTGCTTCGTTCTGTGCTCCAGTCAGTGCTCCTGACACAAGGCAATCATGGCCTTGTTGTCTACGTACAGAAGTGGAGGCGAACGAGGCTGCTCTCCCAAGTCGGTCAGCAGGTAGGTCAGCCAGCGTAGCTCCTGAGCAGCCATGGCCCCGGCGTAGATCTCAGCCTCACAACTGGAGCTGAGAATCGAAGACGAGCGGGTGGACCGCCAAGAAACAGAGCCGGAACCAAGGCTGAAGGTGTAACCCTGTGACGACCGCTGCGTAACTGAGGCGTCAACCCCGTCCTCCAAGCACAAGCCCCATGCCCGACGTACTGCACAGGTAACGCAATACCCTCTTCGCAGCATCCCAGTGCACCTTTCGGTGCCTATCGGGAGCCACGTAGCGAGCCAGAAGGCTGAGAGGGTACGCGAGGTCAGGTCGTGTGCACGTCATCAGGTACATGAGGCAACCCACAAGCTCTGGGTACGGACCACTCAGCTCTACGGACTCGTCCAAAGGTGGAGCTGAGAGCGAGTGGCTGGTAGAAAGAGGAGTGGGCTGTGGCGGGGAGAACTGGAAGCTGAAGTGCTGAAGGACCTAGTGCACCATGTGTGACTGAGTCAGGGTGATGGTGCGCCGTGCTCTGTCCCAAGTGATCTGCAGGCCAAGATAGCTGCGCAGTTCACCCCGGTCAGTGCGGGTGTGTCTCTTCTGCAGTTCGGACTTGACAAGGGTCAGTGCCTCAGTGTCAGCAGTGGCAAAGACAAGGTCGTCGACGTACACGAGGACGTAGAACGGCGGCAGCGAGGTGTCGGTGCGTAGAAACAGCGACGGGTCCGCAGTAGAAGGAGCAAACCCAAGAGCCGCAAGCGTCATCCTCAGTGTTTCGTGCCACTCGCGAGGCGCCTGGCGGAGACCGTAGACTAGCCGCCGGAGGCTCCACTAGGTACCTCCAAGAAACGTCCCAGTGAAACCAGGTGGTCGGCGCACCCAGATCTCCTCGTGCAGGCTGCCCTGCAAGAAAGCTGTGCTTAAGTCCAGAGAGTGCAACTCGTAGTCACGCTGAGCAGCGACGTGCAGCAACACCCGAAGAGTAGTCATCTTCGGGGTGGGGGAGAAGGTCTGGAAGTAGTCAACTCCTTGTTGCTGACTGAAGCCTCGAGCAACGTAACGCGCCTTGAAGGCAGGCGATGAACCCGGCGGCCGCTTCACCCTCAAAATCCACATGCCATCGACTATGTTCGCCCGAGACGGGGGAACTTCATCAACGTAGGTGCCTGTGGACTTCCAGGATGCCATCTCGGCATCCATAGCTGCCTCCCACTGAGAGGAGTAAGGACCCGTAATCGCCTCTACGTAAGAGCGCGGGGTCGGGATGTCTGGAGCATCCGGGTCTCCCTCAGGGGCAAGCAGCATGGAAGCGAAACGAGGTACAGCAGCTGCAAGACACTCAAAGTCCTCCTGCCTGTCCTCAAGGACATCCGTGCCAAGAGCACACTCACCCCCGACGGACGGAGGACTGGCAGACACAGACTCAGCAACTAGAGCAATGGCGTTGTCAAGACGGCAGGCAGCAGCAAAGTCAAGCAGCTCAGCAACGAGAGCAGACGTTGCAGCAGACTCAAAGGA